CTCAACCAAGGTCTCGGGTATGCAGCTGGTGCTCACAGCAGCTTCATCCCATATCACGTTGATGCCGTGACACTTCAGCCTTACGGCGAAGGATGGCATGATGAGATGGCCATGGGACGCCTGGTTGAGGGGTCATTCCGAAGTCTGAATAATTTGCTTGAGCATCTGCACCAGAGTTTCTTCTTTTATCTTCTGATGCAGACCGATCGCTTCGTTAGTATCGGTACTTATCTTCCCAGTGCTATGTTGATTGCTGCCAACTTTACCATCATGGCTATCTCTCTCTGGGTCAAGAGCGGTCAATCACCAGCGACGCAGAAACCCAAGGAGAAGACATCTACCGCATCTGTTGAGACAACACAAGCTGGACGGGATCTGTTTGTTCCGCTCGGTGTTGTTGCTGTCTGCCAGGGTCTCGCAGCTGTACCTCTGTACATATTCAACCACCTTCCCGCTGGCGTAAGTGCCACCCAATATCATCATCTTCCGGCCTTATACTGATTACCTCTAGTTACTCTCGCCCGCCTTTGCTGCATTCTCCGCCATCTCGGCCATCCTACCCTTCGCGATCTCTCGTCTCCTAACACTTGGCACCAAGCCCACGATGCAGCACTTCCAACTCACAAAGTCTTTCTCTCTTCTCGTTCTTGGCATGTGTCTTTCTACTCTTGCAACTCTCAACTTCTCTCTTGCTTTTCTCATCGGCGTACTCTCAAGCCCACTCAGCTTTGTCCAGCCGGTCAAAAGCCTGGGGCTTCGCTGGTCTCTAGCAGGTCTCCTCAATGTCGTGTCACCACCTACAGTTTTGTACGCTGCGGCCCAAATCTGGGACATTAGTATTGCGGACTTGCTGAAGGAGGCTAGCTTCGGCTGGAACGTCTGGGGCATGTACACACCCGTTGTAGTATGGTGCCTTTGGTGGCCAGCCTGGCTCGTAGGCATGGTTAATGTCTTCGGAGAGGTTACTGCTTGAGGAAAATCAGGGGTTCGGATTGTAAGATAGGGAGCAAAGCATGCATTGCGCCGCCAGAATGGTGGTTCTGTTTTTTTAGTAACAAACGAGGGCACATAGAGTAGGCAAAATTTAGAATTAATAGTCTTGACTTGGGCAAAAGATCATCATCTGCCCACAGCAAAGTTTCTATTCGTCTATACTGTACATTTGTTCGTTCAATTGCCATACGTTCCCTAGACCGTACTCCGGTCGAGACCTCGTCTACGCAGCCCACACATCCTTGCCAGCCGACTCGATCCAGTTGCCAAGTTGGTTGACGCTTGAGTCCCAGTCAAGCAGTCGCTGGCGCATTGCAGCGATTTGTTTCATGTCGAGCACCTTGGGCTGAACCCAGGTAATTTGAGCGACGCCGTCAACTTGGTCAATAGTTCCCCGCAACAGACCTAGGCTAAGAGCCTTCATGATGAGATGCTCGATCTCTTCGGGTCGGACCTTGGTCTCCTGAGCGATGGTGACAAACGTGAGGGTGCGGTCGTGGGGAGGACGGCGGAAGACAGCCTCAGTCAATGCGGAAAGGTAGATCTTTTGTCGAAGATGCGTGGCGTTGTTCTTGAGAAGTTTGTTGGACTCGACACGATCAGAAAGCTGGTCATAAGCGTCAAGATCTCCACGGTTAAAAGCAAATAGCAGATCACGCATCCAAGCATGCTCGCTCTTAGCGAGGACATCAAGGATGGGGTGGAGCAGGAGCTCTCCGAAGTTGTAGATGCTTGTTGAAACAAGGGCAGCAATGCTGAGGTGGTATGCTCTCTTGTGTCGCTCCTCAGGAGTCATTGCGTTGAGGTCAATGCAGGCAAGGTAGAGGAGAGCAGTGCGGTAGTAGTTGGAGAAGTCCATCTTGCGCTGAGGGAGGGGTCAGCGAGGTTCACCAGATATCCAAAGTCTGAGATGAAGAACGTACCTGGTAGTAGATGGCATTTGCATCATAGAAAGCAGCATGAACCACATTCTCTACAGAGTCGAAAGAATCCAATATCCGCTCGGCTGTATCCAGGTCCTTTCGCGCAGCATCTAGCTCCTCCAAGTCCAGCTTTGCTTGGGCGACAGCAACCAAGGCATAGACATAAGCATCCTGGGAGTTCTCGTTGTCAACCTTCTTGGCGACTGATTGGAGGAAAGAAAGGCGCTGCTCGTCTTCTATGTCGTTCAAAAACCATCGGTCAGTAGTCCGCCAGCTTCGGAGCAAGTTGCATTTAAATCTCACCTTCACACTCTGTTGCTGCTTTCAATGCTAAGTCCACGAGCTTCAACTGGTTGATCTTGTCGGCAAACTTGAGAATAAAAACTCTGTAGAATGGTAGTCGTTGAGGGGCGCTCTCGGGGTGGCTGAAGAACTCGACGAGGGCGTCAGTGAGCTGGTGCCAAAGCTTGCGCTCCCAGAAGTTCTCAAAGTCGAGAACGAGAGGCTGGAGCTCCTCGGGAGCTTCATCGCGCTGCTCGGCAAGAAAATCGGAAATGGTCTCGTTGCTCATGATGGCGAGATTCGTATTTGATGTCGGTGGAACCGATGTGTATGGGTGACGTGCACAGCAACTGAAGCTAGCTTGCCTGCAGCCTTAATTTATTGGCGCGTACTGCCCCGAAGCTGAATTTGCGAATTATGAGTCCTAGAAGCGTGGGTATGGCCTCTTCTCTATTGGATCGTGTTGTCGTCAAGCAGCCGTCGTGATAATCGGTGAAGCTGGTATGGTTGTAGAGGTTGATATTGCTTCAGTGGAGTGTGGAGGGAGGTCCTTAGCTCATCAATGAGGCTACCAGGCAGCCTGGTCGTCGCAACGGACCTACCTATCTCAAGGGCGCACGGGCCATTTCGACCTCTGGAGGAGCACCCGGAAGGCGCTAACCAATGACAAGCTACAAGATTTTAGTGACCCGTCACGTGATCTGCAATTACCGTTCCCCGAGGCTCTAACTTGGCTAGCATCGCCAAACACTGCTATCGAGACGACGAGACGTTCAACGGCCAATTGCGAGGCACAGCAGCGTTTTGTCACGCAATCTGTATATTCGCAAACATGGCTTCGCCTCTCTTTGCTGCGCGGGCGGCCCGCAAGGCTGCCTTCAATGTCGCCGGCAAGCGATACCTATCCGATATTTCCATTACCCGAACTGGCAAGCCTATCATGCGTGTTGAGGGAGGCCGGTAAGCTCAATCACGGCCCATTGACACTATTCCGATGTCCTCTAATGTTATTCTGCTTCTAGTTCATCCCTCGGAGGTACGATGATCGAGCTACGATGACCACGAACAACACTGACGAGGGAAACCAGGCCATACTGTTACCGTATTTGGCGCAACCGGCCAACTAGGACGATACATTGTCAACCGACTGGGTGAGCCAACCTGAACCAGGAATTGAATAACTGGAATGGGAAATTGGAATACTGATACTGGCATTAGCCCGTCAGGGATGCACTGTCGTTATTCCCTACCGCGAGGAGATGTCCAAGCGTCATCTTAAGGTCACTGGAGATCTTGGCCGTGTTGTTTTCATTGTACGCCCCAATTCGTCCCGATATGTTTAGGAACTTCTCAGTAACACCTTTACTAGGAGCACGACCTTCGAAACACCCCTTCGATCGAGGCTAGCGTCCGACATTCCGATGCCGTTTTCAACTTGATTGGCCGCGACTATCCTACCAAGTACGTCAACACGATGTAGACCAGTAGGACTGGAACTAATGATTATCAGGAACTTCTCCTTGGAGGATGTGCACGTTGAGGGAACTGAGAGAATTGTCGAGGCTGTTTGCAAATACGATGTCGACCGATATATCCACGTTTCCTCCCACAGCGCCAACTCTCAGTCCGTCTCCGAGTTCTACCGAACCAAGGTTCGTGGATCTTCAGCTTGGTAAATGGAGGGGAGATTGCTAACAAAGGACGCAGGGTCGAGCTGAGGAGGTTGCCCGACAACTTTTCCCTGAGACCACTATTGTCCGGCCTGCGCCCATCTTCGGTTTTGAGGACAACCTGCTTCTGAAGCTTGCTGGTGTCACCAACCTCTTCACTTCCAACAACATGCAGGAGAAGTTCTACCCCGTTCACGTAGGTTTTTGCCAGAGTGCTATGGGCCAACTTTACTAACCGCCACAGTCTATCGACGTTGGTGCTGCTCTTGAGAAGATCTTCTATGACGACACAACTGCTGGGCAGACGTTTGAGCTTTACGGACCCAAGAAGTACAGCATGGAGGAGATTTCTGTTATGGTCGATAAGGAGATTTACAAGCAACGACGACACATCAACGTGCCCAAGGCCATCCTTAAGCCTGTTGCTGAGATTCTGAACAAGTTCCTTTGGTGGCACACTCTGTCAGCCGATGAGGTTGAGCGAGAGTACTTGGACCAGGTTATTGACCCTGAGGCCAAGACCTTTAAGGATCTTGGTATTGAGCCTGGTGACATTATCAACTTCACCTACCACTACCTGGTGAGTGCCCCTTTCATGGTCGTGAAAGTCACAAACTGACATCCTTTTTAGCAAGGATTCCGAAGTCAGAACTTCTACGATCTCCCCCCTGCGACAGAGAAGGAGAAGAGGGAAGAGAAGAAGTACATCCATGTCTTGGATGAGTTGTAAAGAAAATGAATTTAAATTTTTGCTTATTGCGAATGTCGGAAAGGTGGCTGGTGATTCATGGCTGAGCGGACGAGTCGACAATAGTCCGTGCATATAGGACCGCATAGACTAGAGAGTATGCGAGTTCGAACAATTGTACAGGTTTCCTTTTGGTTGAGATGATATCAGATAATATGAAGGTTGAGAGAATCAGTCCATACTTGGCTACCCTACAGCCCTCCATCGTCGCATCCAATATGCAGCTCTTTGGTAGCGAGAGTCTAGACCGTCGAGGAAGCGGTAGCAGACAGCAAAGAGGACCCCGCCAAAACCCCTACACAAAACCTTGTATCGCATCGCCTCGCATTTTGGAGCGACAGCATACCAAACCAGAAAAAGATACGTTTTGACGACAACATTCCGATGTCTTTTGAAGATGAAGAGCCCATGTAAGAGATATATATCAAACGTCCATGTGACCCCAAGTTACAGGGCCCAGTTTACTGACTTTGGCTGGTCTGGTCTCCAGAAGCCTCTCGAGTCACGCCTTGGCCGCGCTGGCCGAGTTCCACGCCGAAAAGGACGCACACGAAAAGACATTTGAGAAGTTGAGGACCGGCGCCGCTCCGAGAGCTGGAGCTGGACTCGGCGTCGTCGAACCGGAAGACGAGGACCCTGTAGCGGAGGATGCGGACGATCAACCGCTGAGCATGGCGGCCTTTACGGAGGATTGGAACGAATCGCAGTTTTGGGTACGTAAGACGACATGCACAAACAACGTCCTCTCGTCCAGTTGTCTTGCGCCTTTTGGCACTGGCGGTGGAGATAGATGGCATGGCATCGCGATCGGCTTCTGGGATATAGTCTGTGCCTTTGCGTCCGAAGTTGGGGTATCTATTACGTACTGGGCTGGTCTTGGCACTACAACTTCATGATATTGACATCGTGGAAAGAAACGCATACTAACATGGGCCTGACGATATAGTTTCTCGACGAAACAGCCTTTGCTCTGGCCGATCAACTCCTCGATGGTGCATCGTCAAGCTCGACTATTGGCGTAGTCTCGACACCGAGCGTGTTCATTGCGCTCAAGAACCGTCTTGTAAGATCAAATCTGACTTCTGTTATGCCTAGGGTTTGATATGTAGAACCCAGAAACTGACTGGGACACAGAGATTCTGGCCTATTGAAGACCGGCCTAAGCTGGTCTTATTCGAACATGACCACCGTTTCAGCGTCTTTCCCGAGTTTGTCTTTTATGACTTCCAGCGACCTCTCCAACTTCCAGGTATGACCGCTTTGGTAGTTGAGGACTGCTTTTGACATGTGCTGATATTATTATCTTAGCCCATCTGAAGGGCAGCTTGGACAATATTATCATTGACCCTCCATTCTTCAGCAATGACTGCCAGACAAAGTGTAAGTAATGCTCACAGTCGTCCTGGCCACTATCTGGATGTTACTCCACCCCGTATCACGATCTGTACCCTCCAATTTCACTATTAACATGTCACCCACCAGTTGCTCTAACAGGCCGTTGGCTCGTCAAGCCAAAGTCGCCTCGTGTGATTGTCTGCACGGGAGAACGAATGGCTACCATTGTCGACAAGCTCTACCGTTCTCTTGGAGTCTATGCGACAACATTCGAGCCCGCTCACGCGGGTTTAAGTAACCACTATTACTGCTACGCCAATTTTGAGAGTTCAACTTGGGACTGGCGATCTGATGTATCAGATTGAAGAAGTTGAACTGGAGATGCGAGGCGTTAAGAGATGACGCCCGCTACTGGAACCATCTCGAGTTCAAGGTCTTGGAAGAATACACAAGACCGGGAAGTGTGGCACAAGGCGCAATGACTTATGGAATATCTGTGGATGCCAAACCCAGTAAAGTTCGCCACAGTTAGAAAAAGAGATACATCTGAAGAAAGACCATGGACCGCCCTCTTCAGAAGGGTGCCATGGTATTAATAAACTACATATATGCGCCGAGCAATGCTCCATACTGCGCTCAACCTGCAGCTGATATATGGAACCAGTCGACTTATTGACCATGATCATTAACGCCTTTCTGGCTCTCCTCATGTAAACCCCCGATTGCCTAGGCCAGCGAGCGAATGATGTAGAAAAGGAGATAGGCCTGCGCCCCAAGGACGTCAGATAAGCTCGCCAGCTCGACTTTGTGATCATTAAACTTGAACCACTGAAAAGATATGTCAGCTCTGATACAGCGCCATAAAGAATAAAATTTACCTGGTCGCCGACCCGGCAGTATGATGTATAATGGCCAGTGTCGATCTCACCCACATGAACCACAACACTAAGGAGGTCATAGGTGCATGATCGCTCCAGCTCAAGGCTTTCACGACTCTCGTGGTTGCGAACACGATTGGTATAAGGAAGCATGTTCAGTTGGAGAGGAAATTTGACTTCGTTGTCGACCTTTGACGCGGCACGATCGTGGCGGCCATGTCTGTACTCGAAGCGCTGTGAAAAGAGTTAACTTGGCGAACCAACACCAGCACCCACGAGCCACCGACTACACTCACCTTAAGCTGTATGGACAGTACGTTTGGCAGCCGCTTAATGCTGGTATGTCGTTTGGCTTGTTGAGTTCCGTTGCAGTTGTTGCACCGATACTCGCACTTGTCATACTTTATGTATTCTTCGTCCAAGCAATCCTGCAAGGTTAGAGAAGGCTTCTTCTGGCCAGTCCTCTTGCTTTTTTTCTGGACGACATTTTCGAGACCTAGACTCAGATCAAGGAACGACTGGATGGAATTACTCTGGCCTGAGCAATTCTGACACGTTGTTGTGGTCTGCATCTTGCCGTAGAATGTCTGATGCATGATACAATTGCAGCTATGTTCGCTGCCGATCTCCGGTTTTTTGCCATCACCATTTCGTTCATGAAGCTCTTCAGCTAAGAACTGGAAGAACTCGTGAGCATCTTGTTCTTTGGTGGTAACAAGATTCTCGAATGCCTTTTTCTCGGAGATCCAGAAACCTGACAATATATTGGCAGCAGTATAGCCGTTAGTGTTCTCTAGGGCGTAAAAATCTTGGAACATGTCGTCCATTGCACAGCTCAGGCAGTGAGGGACCTGACAATCATTGCTCTGGTGACCATCGCTTAGATAAAAGTTTCTCAGTAATGGGTTGTGCAAGAAGCTTTGGAGAACAACGTTCTGATAGCAGGTCGCACCGGCGTTGTAGATGCCGCGCAGGCCGTTTGCGCGACAGGAGGCGGTCGTGGTATTGTTAGTAATATACCGAGGGTCATCCTTCATGGAGTCTGAGAAGAGCTCATTGTGTTTTCTCTTGCGACCTGGCCAACAGTTAATTTCAGGCGACAGAGAACTATCCGCGAGCAACACATCAGTCAAGGATACAGCCATTCGTTCTCATTCTGTATCGCGTATGGACGAGTCTTGACTTGATGCATCTCCGCACACAATCGCTTACCAGAAAAAGAGCCGGTCCCTATCTTTCTCACTCGAAGCTCCTCGAGAGTTGGGTCCCAGACAAAATCGTCGCACATCTGACAGTACAGGCAACCGCTCCGAGAGTCAACATCTGCGCCAGGGTTAGCAAAGCAGGCGGCGGAAAGCAGCAGCACAAGGCTACTAACAGAAACGGTGCTGTTTCTTGGTTCCGTGTTTCAATCGATCTTCCTCGGACACGGTCATGGGACATTGTAGGCAGAGGTAGTTCGAGGTAAGGGTCGTAACGGGTCGGCCCTCTTGTGTTGAGGTTTGGGGGACGATGGGTGTCGCATCGAAGATGTTGCGGAGGATTAACTTGTAGTGCGTGATCGAGCTGTTCATGACCTCTTGGTTCTTGCTGAGGAGGAGTTGTACATGCTCTAGGGGCAATTAGACAAGGATAAAGAGAGACAGAGCATTGGGTGGCCATACCACAGCCGAACATTGGTGATCCGGGGACCGGAGACTTCACCTTGATGTTCTTAGGTGAGGCCGGGGTTGTCGGTCGCCCAGACATTGTGAGGAATCAGGCCTTTGCGGCTAGAGTTTTGCTGCAGCAATTGAAGCTCGTAGCAGACGAATGAAGCTTGTTGATGCGGCTGATAAAAGGGAGCTCGATTCGTGATCAAGCGGATGCGGCGAGGAGTTACTGTACGGTACACTCGAAAACCCACATATAACGACAGGCCTGACTATTCGTTTATTCTTGATCGGTTTGTTGTACGTTCGCTCGCTCGCTCGCTCGTTTATTTATTCGTTCCTTTGCCTGACGGGTGATGTGATGGTGTACAAGGCTGAAGGATGCACGCGAGGCACCAAGTTGCATGAATGTGCAACCAACAAACAGCAAGCCGAAAGTCGGACAAATGGTGGCCAACCTCTTCGAGTTGAAACTGAATATCAAAAAGATTAATGAACTGTAGGAGGTGAATGAGCGTCGAGAGGTGGCCGCTAAGGAATTAAACAATAGAGATGAAAAGATCAAACTTTGTTGTTGCGCCTAGTTATTGACTGTTCCTTCAATTAATAGAATAGATTAAGTAAGTGCACCTATGCATGCATGCATGCATGGGTTGGATGGAAATAGAAGTGCAGGAGTGGTATTGAAAGCCACTATCACTCACTGTAAGGTACCTAAGTTAAGGTAAGGTAAGGTATAGTAGGTACTAAGTTAGGAGAGATTACAACGGGTGCAGGCTCCCTAAAACTCAGTGTGCCGGGTACCTTTTGGTGTAAGTTTGGCGGGTATATACATCAAGTGATGGAGGCGCTCTTGAAAATTATACGTATCCATGTCATGCAGGGCGATAAGATAACCTGCCTACCAACCTTACCCAGCTTGGCACTAGTCTCACCAGCTGAACCTCATATTAACCGCGACCGCAGCGCGTCTAAGGTCTAACAGGCATATTGACTGGAGATGTTGTAGTTGATAGTCACTTGAGAATGATTTTCTCTATATCTGAAAACTCCAATACAGCATCTGATATGTAGTACCAGACAAGATTATAGCTATTATTTATGATGTGCAAAGTGATGCCTATTACTGTATCTCCATCCGTCGCCAATATGCACTTAGAAGAGGAGCACCGTCGTGCCGAGGTCTATTCATTCTCCATTGAATAAGCAGTTTGGATTGCCGGATGACAACTGCCAGCTCCCTCTCTACCTCTTTTAGATCGATATCTTCTTCCCCAGGTATCTCTCTCATCTTTCGTCCTTGACCTACACAAACATTTTTGAGCTTTGAGCTTATTTGTCTAGAAACGGGGCTCAAAGTCTCCACTGTCTACCGAACTCTCGGCCCGACTTTTGGGGATCCCGGCTCCGGACCCCTCCCGATCAGCACCGATAGTTTCGCCCATACGCCGTTCCTCCACCTTGAATATTACCAACAACTGGAGTACCATGGCAACTCAACTCATTGCTCTGCCAGCTGTAGAGCGTCTTAGTCCTACAGTCATCCGCATTTTGGGCGGCAATCCAGGCAAATTCACTCTTCAAGGCACAAACACATATCTTCTCGGTACAGGTCGTCGCCGGCTTCTCATTGACACTGGCGAGGGTCGCAATGCTTGGATCTCATCTATTCGCGAGACTCTACAGCAAGAGAATGCGACCATAGATACCGCGCTCATCACGCACTGGCATCATGATCATACAGGTGGTATCAAAGATCTCTTGAGCATCTCACCACAGACGAGAATCTTCAAGCACACTCCGGAGGAAGCCCAGCATGAAATCAAGCACGGGCAGCGCTTCCAAGTCGACGGCGCTACATTGACAGCAGCGTATACACCAGGGCATACAAAGGATCATATGGTGTTCGTTCTTAAGGAAGAAGACGCAATGTTCACAGCCGACAACGTCCTCGGTCAAGGGACTGCGGTATTTGAGGACATGATCACGTATCTACGAAGCCTAGAAGAAATGAAACCTCTCTTCAAAGGCCGAGCATACCCTGGACATGGGCCGGTGATTGAGAATGGGCCAGCAAAGATTGCCGACTACATCGCGCATCGAAAACAGCGAGAGGATCAGGTCATTCAGACGTTGAAGAAGGGGCCTGGTGAAGTGGAAACTCAAGAATCTGCACTGTGGTCGGCATGGACAGCGACCGATCTGGTCGAAGTGATTTACAAAGATGTCCCTCAGAATCTGCACCCAGCAGCTCGTGGCGGTGTTTTGCAGATACTGGGAAAGCTGGAGAGCGAAGGTCGCGTAGCTCATGATGGTGACGAATGGAAGTTGCTGGTAGATGGCCGGGCTTCTCTGTGAGTCTGAGCTACAGTGAGTAGACAATGGATAGGCCAAACTGAGTCACTGGTGTATTTCCGAATCGCCGTGATAAAATTAGTAGGTAGTTATTCATCATTCATTACCCGAAAGGCCATTGTGAGGAACGAGCCGTGTTTGCTCGGGAATACGGACTTTTAAACAAGATGGACCGAACTGAACTGAACTGGGCTAGGTTTATGGCATGATTTGGGCATGCCAAGAGCTGAGTTTTGTAGCAAGTTTGTATGGTAAACTTGGTAGCGATATGAGGCAGGGCCTTCGGCAGCGTCGGATCGTCCAAATCAATGGATCCTGATGTGATATGGACCTTGTGGATGGCGACTTACTTAGTACCTATGTCACTACCTTATGTAACTGGTGGGGATCGCCAACAGGGTTCTGGTTCTGAGAACACACCCCTGTCCACTAACGCAGCCACTCTATCAAACAAACCCACGGCATTGGCCATGTTCTCAACAACTGACATTGTTGCTGATGGTGAAGTGTACTGTAAGCAGATCAATACTCTAGATACCTATTGTAATCCACATGCAGCTTCAGTTCGGCCGATCACGGAGACTAGCTGCAGTGCAATGCAATGTCGTCACATCAGATCCCAAGCTCCCCATGCATGCAAGTACAGTACAAGAGTTAGGTGTCTTGAGACTGCAACATTAAACCCGTCGTTTAGAGGTCCGTTTCATGCAGCCACAAACGGTCCAATTTTGTCCGAATATCATACGACAGGCCGTAAAAAGAGAGAGCTCGATGATACATAATTAATCGTTATACCTTAGAACCTCGGTGCTCAAACTGCGGAGTGTTCGGGAGTAAAATTTTGGCGTATAGCATACGTACAGATATGCGTATCCCTAGTACCTGAGGAATGGAGACAAGTTGACCACGAGTTGCCGTTCTTGGCGAGATCATTGTATGCACTCTTATTTGCTGGCTCGGGTTGCAACCCAAGACAGCTGACTCTTTTGGGTGTAATACGTACACACGATGAATGCAAGTCAGCACCACGGACTCGACAACTAAGCGGGCGGTGAGCCAGCACATCCTGAACGATCCGATAATTCTGCCCTAGACTGGGATAGAAATATTTCTGCTTATGCACCTCTTCCTCCAACCGAGTTGTGTGTTGTAAAACGAAGCAATTTGTCAGCGGAGGAGGACATCTAGGGTAATCTGATATCTTGGTGGCACTCCAGAACCATCCAACTTGAGCAAATATTCCTTCTCATGACCCTTGTATTTTACGCCCGGCTTCAGGCCCTTCCTTGTTCATGGGCATGGTTACGTGATGCCTTGTGACCTCTTTGACAGCTCGAGGTTGGTGGGTTGTGACCCTGTTTAATGGAGTGCGTCTGTCTGTCTGTCTGTCTGCTTGACCGGCATCATCGGGCCCACGGAGACGGAGATAATGATAGAGTCTGCAAATACCGTCAGGCAGGTAGGTAGTCTAGTGCTCAGACCGACAGTTACAGTCCAGTTACATTTCCTGATCTTGATCAAAGATCCGTGATTGCCAAGACACTTCGGTCTGAATCATCCGCAGTCATCAAAGTCCACGAGGAAAGTTTCCGTGAGAAGTTCCCGTTGGACTAGCACAGACTAACTATCAAGTGTATGTAAGTCAAAGACACACACACACATGTAGTAAGGCGTATAAAGCAAAGTGCGCTGCCATTGTGTTGCAAGTGGTACACGTCTTTGTCAGCCCTAAACGAATATTTGACTACACTAGACGTCATACACAACCTTATTGTTTACACTGCACAGACGTAGAAACTTTGTAAGTCAAGAGCCGAGGAGAAAGTGTGCGGAATTGTCGGCGTAGTTGGGTTGAAGTTGTGTGGAGATGCTGGACCGGGATTATTTAGATCTAGGGAATACATCAAAGAGGTTGAAGCCCGCTGCATCCAATGAACGACGGCGTAGCTTTATTGTACAGCGCGGGAATGAGGTAACTAGCGCCAAAGCTGCCGGCATTAAAGAGCTCTCCATGATGCAGGATAATGCCTGTAAAGACGAAAGCTCTCATGTGGATTTCGGCATTTTGCTCGATACCAGTATGTGCTTTGATATCGGTGATGCAGGCCTAAACAGGTCAGCTTTGAGTAGGTAATTAGGTATGACTGAGAAGCCACAGTTAGTACGTGTAGAGCTTATGACTGAATATTCGTAATTCACTTGTAAGCCAGTGAGTGAGTGGCTGACTGCCCGTTTATCGGATCCGAGTCGAGGTGCACGTAACCAAGGGTGGTACTGTTTGTTACCAAACGTGGTGAAGGGTTGCGATGCCTGCATTGCAGCAAGTTACAGTACAGCACACACACACACACACACAGAAAGTTCTTGTGACCAGTGACTAACCAACTAACCAACTAATGATCTCTGTGCTCGGTGAGAATAGGAATGGAAGAGGAGGATCCATCCACCCATGCATGGCCTGTGATATCCACTTCATCTCCGCCGAAATGCCTTGATCGTTCTTCGAGAAGATGCCTTTTACAAAGTTTCCGTGCCGATCGATCGATCACGTTGACCATGAACGGACTAAAAGCGTAACTGCCTTACCTACCTATCTTACCTACTCGGAACCAAAAGATCCTTAAAGTAAGTACTACATCACATGGGCCCCGCGGACTACCTTTAGCAGGGCCTGCCCTGATCTAGGAAGTGCATACCTACCTAGGCAATGAATGTACAGTGACCTCTACTTACCTTACCTATAGGTACAGTCGGGTGGTGGGTGTGCTGTAGCTGTCGATGCCCACCCCCCCACCGGCCGGCCCCATTTTGAGGATCCCCCACTATCCATCCAAATGCTTACCGCATTTATTTTCTTTCCCCCTGTTGACTTGTTTTTCCCACCTATTCAGAGGTCAAGGTACAACTTTCCATGATGAAGCAATTCGGAAGCTTCGGATGGCGAACTGCTGCGTATCCTCTCTTGGCTCTCGTCGTTTTGTCTCCGACTGACCAAGAGATTCCAATGCCTCAGCTTATGACCTGTTTTCGGCCGCTCGGGCCCGATAGTAACAGTAGAAGATAAAACAATGCCATGTCATGATTTCTTGAAACGCTCTTTGTTTTGACGTCTACTTGATCGCATGATCATACATGTCCTCCTGCTTGTGTCTTTCTTTCTGTAAACAAGTATAATTACTGCTTGCGATCTCTCGTCGTCTAGCCGTCTTGTCTCGTCTTGTTTCGTTGCATATATTGTTTCCTTCTGCGGACAACCCTTTCTGGACGTACGTTACCAATATGATTTACACAAAAAGGATGTCGCATGCATCTGGCCCATTGCTTTTGGCGCTTCTACCTGCGGTAACTGCGCATGGCGGTGGTGAAAGTATGGACATGGATATGGGAATGGGAATGGGAATGGGCCATGGTGGCAGCACCACGACACAACCGCCCAACAGCCAGGGCTACCCTGATACCTACTTTGCGCATACTGAACATACTGGAGTTATATACACACACATTGCATTAATGGTTCTTTCTTGGGTATTTATTCTACCAATTGGTAAGTTTTCATGGTGTTGAGCTTCATGCGCCGACTAACACCACCAACACCAGCCGTCATGTTCTCACTGGCAAACTCTCGCTTTACACTACCGGCACAATTTGTTTTCCTAGCTACAAATTCTCTTGGAGTCCTGGTCGGCGTGATATATAACGCGCAGACCCCAGACCTGTATCCAAACAATGCGCACCACAAGATTGGCTGGATTGTGACCTGGGTCGTTTGCGCCCAGGTCCTTGTAAGTGCCGTGGGCTGTATCGCGGGAGCTCTAAGGGGTAAACGAAAGACGTCGAGTAACGACACACATGCCTTTCTGCCTATCGCGACGCAAGAGGTCGACTACTCTTCGCACAATGGCTACCACAATGCCAGCCCCTACCGCATGTCCAACGACAGTGGGCGAGGAATCGAACCAGACACACCCTCGCTTCGAAGCGACTCGGCATCTACTCTCAATGGCATAGAGTCGCCTATCAACTACCACAGGAAAGAGTACGAGGATGATGATGGCGACCTAGAGGAATTATCACTAGCCTCTCCTGAACCTCAGGGAACTTTTGCTCACCACGCCTCTAAGATCGCTGCTTCGCGAGTATGGAAGTATCTCGACCTCGGCCGTTGCATAGTTGATCGCATTATCCTCCCCTTCGGCTTCGTTGCGCTTGCAACCGGTGTTGTCACTTTTGGTCGTTTCTTTGTAAGTTGCTAGCAGATACCTTGGTTGCGACACTTGACTGACAAGTCTTCCAGGAGGGTGGCGGAATCTTCAATGGATTGGCGCATTGGATTAAGGGCGGTGTTTTCTTCTGGCTAGGTATCTTCACCCTCGGCCGCTGGACCGGCAGCTTTGGAGAGCTTGGCTGGGCGTGGAATGTTCGACCAAGGAAGGACTCCCAGAAGTGGCGTCCTTCTGCCGAGTTTGCCGAGAGCTTCTTGATCTTCTTCTATGGCGCTACCAATATCTTCATGGAGCACCTCGGGGGTTGGGGAGGAGACTGGACCGCCCAGGACATGGAGCACATCTCCATCACAGTTCTGTTCATTGGGGGAGGCTTGGTAAGTCGCTCGAGCTGCCCCAGTCGATTTTTCGACAGCAAAAATTGACTTGTTTCTTTAGTGCGGTATGCTCATCGAGTCGACACGTATTCGCCATCTTCTCAACACAACCGTGGACGAAGTTCAACCCAGGAGCCCCTACACGGCCGAAGAAGCAAACGAACCTGAAGCCCCCGACACATACGAGCTCTCGCTCAACCCCATCCCAGCTTTAGTCATCATGCTGCTTGGACTCATGATGAGCTCCCACACACAGCATACCATGATGTCCAGCATGGTTCATAAGCAATGGGGTGACCTCCTTCTAGGAGCTTCGCTTGCTCGAGGCTTGACATACCTCATAATGTACTTGAAGCCACCCAAGTCCATTCTCCCATCACGTCCCCCAACGGAACTCTTGGCTGCTTTCGGACTGATCGCTGGAGGTATCATCTTTATGGCTAGTGTATGTCGAGGGCCCCTGAAAAAAGATTCAGAACGCTAACTTGAAGTAGAGCACTGATACTGTCGACGGAATGATCCACTACAAACTCGACGTCATGTTCATATACACTGTCACCATGGGTCTGGTCGCCATCCTGATGGCTTGGGTCGTTATCATCCTCGCCATTAAGGGATGGGCTGTCCGACTCGAACGACGCCGTAATTCGAATTAGACCGTACATATGCACATATTGATGAAGGAATGACGTACTGCCGTGATTCGGCCTCGGTGGAAGACAGGCGTATATATAGATTGATTGTATTGCGCGCTTCATGTAGTGCAGACTCTGCTTTGAGATACCCTTATGCAATAACGGCTGCTAAATGACCTAATTCCTGAACCTGACTTTCCGCCTTTTAACTGAGTGGACAACATGCTGTGGCGCATTTGAGTACAGTGTCAAGCGTTCTTGGTTTCAATAATATAGCTTGCTATCTGCAAAGAAAAACGCCATCCTTGTGATCTGACATGTCCTTGTCTCGTAGGAAGTGGTGAAGAATGGCTCTCAAGAGTCCACTTATTGCAAAGGAGCGGATATGAAATGCCATCGTGCGTTCACTGTAGTGGACCGAAATGATCTGGACTGCGTATATACAGTCTGCTCATACATTCCCGTCCTTGGCCTTTGGTACAGCAACCACTCTCTTCTGGTCCTCAGGAGAGAAAAGCCCCGCACCTTGTTGCAGAGCGTGAACAAGGAAAGGGATGGAATCGGCCTTGAAGTCCTCTGCGTTGCGAACTTTGTCAAGATCCTCTGAGAGCTCTTGTGTTGTGCGTTGAAGGTAGTAGGAGGTAAACTCCGGAGAAGACTTGTTGGCAGACTTGGAAGACATTTCAATGTTTTTGATAGAGAGGAGCGAATTTATTTGGTTTGACAAAGGTAGTTCTAGCGATGTTGACTGTTGGGTTTGCGGCTCTCAAGGTTCCTTCACCTTGGCTAGAATGACGAAAACTTGAGCAAGCAAATTCTTAACAGTGCGAAGAAAAATGTATATGTCATGAGCACTGTGTCTACCTCTCACGACTTCGACATGATGGAAGCCATGATACAGATTAACTCGAAGCAAATACATAAGTTTTGCAAGTTCTCCCAGTCAATCGAATAGAGTAACTCTAGGTGAATGCAGCTCCTGGTACAATAGGGGGATACGCCGCGAACTTGTGGTATGGTTGATGGATCTCACGACGCAATGTATGGAGCAAGTTGGTACAAAGCCCAGTGCGCTCTGGGTTACTTGTAGTATTTTATACTCTATCAACGTTTTCACATCTAATGTCACTCTACAGTGAAGCCTGTCTACCTAAACAGGTCTGTGACGAAACTCCATAAAACAGATCATGACCTTCCAAAATCGCTAATCCACAATAACGCCTTAAGTGCCTCGTGAACGTGAGTCATTAAAGACACAGCTGATAACTTAGTGAGAAATGTACTGGAACACAGCAGACACCTCGGACTCTCCACATTCTTGCCTCAAGAGCAAGTCCTGAATTGGCTTCAGCCCCTCGTTAACAAAATGATTCCATGTGCTGGTATCACCATATAGCATGGCTGGCGCCTTGATATACTGCTTCCCATCAGGCTTACACCGCTTGCACTTGAACGTCTCATGAGTGTCGCTCTTGGTATCTGGCCGATACTGGAAAAGCTCACGGAGACTGTCGAGCGAGAAATGCCGTTCAACATCTTCCGCCGAGTCCACAACACAAGAAGATAAACTCTGTTTGTGAGACTGGCGTTGGAAGATCTTCTCCTCGATAGTGCCCGTTGCAATGAAGCGGTACACGAAACAATCCTTCTTTTGTCCATCGCGCCACACTCGAGCAAGCGCCTGTTGATCAGCAGCCGGGTTCCAATCGGGGTCGAATAGCACCAGCCGGTTCGCGCCGATAAGGTTGATACCGCATCCACCAGCCTTGCTGCTCAGGAGAAAGACGAATTCGTCACCTTCAGGATCGTTGAACCGATCAACAAGCTTCTGACGCTTGTTGACGTTCATGGTTCCGTCGAGTCGCAAACATCCATACTGACGAGAGCGGCACATTCGTTCAAAAAGATCCAGTGTCGAAGTATAGTTGCTAATCAACACAATCTTGTCGTTTGTATCTTGGCGGATGCGGGCCAGCATGCGATCCAACACTGCCATTTTGCCGGAATACCATGACTTGATCTCGCGATCTCGACCACGGGATTCCTTGGGTACATAGTCGTCTGGGAAGCACTGCTCTGAGCCCGGTAGATCATCCGCCATGTTCAAAAGATCAGGATGGTTACAGAGCTTCTTGAGAATGTTGATGGCTTTCAAAGGCTGACTTCCCTTGCCTCTCAGGAGAGCCTGAATGTCAGGACTCTTGATGAAGTAGTTGTAGAGGTCAAACTGAAAGGGTGCAAGATTACAGAACACAACGTGCTCGTACTTGACAGGCAAGTACTTGGAAAGGATGTCATTTGTACGACGAATCAGGAACTTGTTGACAACATTGAGCAATGCCGCAGTGCACTCATCGCCCTTCTTTCGATCTTCCTCCGACGCATCAGCATCTCGGCCACGGAGAATTGGGATCTCATAGCGTTTGCGAAACTCCAGCCGTGTGCCGAGCAGATCAGGATTTGCGAAACTTGTGAGCGAGAAATACTCTGTTAGATCATTCTGGATAGGTGTGCCTGTGAGAATGACACGCCGTGAAACATTGAGACTGTTGAGAGCGTTGAAGGTATTGCTGTCGCTATTCTTGAGACGATGTCCCTCATCACAGAAAAGCAGGCCAATCTTTGTGTGCTTCAGCTCCTCCACGTTCAATCGTAGAGTTTCGTAGGAAACAATGATGACTGGCCTGGTGACGGCCCGACCGCTCGCAATTGCCCACTGTCGAAGCTGACGTGTCAGTTCTTCTTTAGATGCCTTTCCATCGATGGCGAATGGGTTGATGGCATTAGGACCAAGCCACTTCACCAACTCGTTGGCCCAATTCTTGACCAAACTGGCAGGGCAGACAACGATTGCTTTCTGAATTGTCGGCTTTCCGGCATCGGGGGATTGCTTGAGTAGTGTCCACATCAAGGAGATGCACTGAAGAGTCTTTCCCAGACCCATTTCGTCGGCCATAATGCAGCCATTGGCCTTCTCATCAATCAGGCCTGTAACACATCGATACATAAATTTGACACCTTCGACCTGATGGGGACGAAGAATCTTGGCCAGCTTCGGGTCAATTACGACTGGAACGCGAGGGTGTTCGCCGTCCACCTTCTTCTTGATTCCGAGAATCTCAGCAAGACTCTTGTGTACAAGAGGAGCGTCAAGTTTCCCGTCAGCAGCCTCTGTCTTGGCGGGCTCAATTGCCTTGGCGACATCTTTTGGTTTGTCGTCGACAGTCGGGTCATGAAGAACAATTGCGAATTCGCCACTGGGGTCATGTAGAGGCTTCGCAATGAAGACTGCACCTTGCCGTAATCCCAGTGTAGGAGGGGCACGATTGGGATTGTATGCAGCGCTATCCTTGTTCTTCAATGGTACGGAGAAGGCCTTGCGGAAAACGAGACCTTTATCCTTGGCCTGGAAAACGGGGAAACGGTTGATATCTCGAGTGGCAAGCGCCAGCCTGTCGTCGTTGGAGTATGGTTTATCATTATCTGCTTCACCGTCGGCACCACCATAATCAACCTTTCTTCGCTTGCGGGACGGTCGATCGACAGCCGGGCTTCTTCCAGCGACTCCAGGGCATTTGAATGGTTTGTGAAGACGGTCAATCGAAGAGGGCGTTGGCATCCGCTTGCCTAGAATTTTGTCCTTGCCAGCAAGTGGCGTCGCGACGATAGGGGACCTAAAATGAGTATCAGAGCTTGCAACAACGCGCCAAAGTGTCTTGCTACTCACACTGCTCCCATCTTGAATATCTTCTCGTTTGATAGACTTATCGAGCGGTTGTTCCAAATATGAAAGATTTCTTGCCACCCCAGCGAGAATCAATGGAGGGTAAATACCTTGGCAAGCGCGATGTCAGTCACTCGACGCGACAGCAGGCAGAAACACGCTATCACGTGAACCGCCACTACCTTAGCTTTAAGGTAGCCCTCCCCGGCAAAACCGAAAGCTCGGACTCAAATACTTAAAAAGCCTCCTCTAGCTTAGGTAACATTGGATCCATCGGGAATCGGTCGAAGAATCAAGTTTGTCGTTCGGTTCATGATGGGACCGGAACGATTGGCAAGGAATAGATCTTCTCCTTTTCTCCTTTTCCCTTTATACATACAACTCACTCGATCAAAACCCAACCAAAGATGATAACCGAAAGCCCATTTCCTGCAACGTCGTCAGGGTAGGTCACCGCTGATCATCTGCTTTCTCAGTATGCGGCTCTGGAAGACCCTGGATCACTAACACATGCCTTCAAGCGTCAATCTCCCCAATTCCGATCAAAGCCGATCGGCCGGTGGAGATCCTTTTGCCGACCATCAATCCTCTGGACCGACCCCTCTTCAAGTAGCAATTGCTCGACATCGCACTGGAATCTTGACTGCAACTGTTGCTGGACACTTTGCGCATTGGCAATATCTTACTCGGTTTCGTCGAATTAATGTACAGGCTACTGCGAATCGCGCTCCTCTTGCACGACTCGGCTTGGCCTGGGGCCTCGTATACCTCGGCGTCTTGAGCACTATCACTGTGGCTCAGCGCAAAGTGTCAAGGAATACTGATCCTGTTCTCTTACCTGTAGAGTCTACAAAAATTGTCTCATAATGTCGGCTGATTTCTGGGCTGGCTATCTCAGTGGTGCTGTTGGAATTATCATCGGAAATCCTCTTGATGTGATCAAAGTTCGACTTCAAGCACAATATACCAGTCCAGTGACGAACCCGCCTGTTTGTTCGATCCCTACTGGAACAACAGCGGCGGTTTCAGCCATCAACCAGAGTGCATCTTTCAGCACGCGGTACCTCGGATCATACGCCTCCTTGGTGACCGGAACTGCAGCACCAATTCTCGGTTACGGTGCGCTGAACGCCTTGCTCTTTGTTTCCTATAATCGAACCGAGACGACACTGAATAGCGTATTCTCAGCATCTGGAAACTTGTGGAATACCTGGCTTGCTGGCGCGGTGGGCGGTCTTGCAACCTGGGTCGTTAGCACCCCTACCGAACTGATCAAGTGCAGGGCGCAGCTAGCATCCTCTCCAACCTCAAGCTGGGCTATCACTAAGGATATCTGGAAAAACGAAGGTGTTCGAGGTCTTTACTTCGGCGGAACTGTGACTGCTATCCGAGATAGCGTTGGCTATGGCTTTTACTTCTGGTCCTACGAGCTGACTACCCGGTGGCTGGCCACGGAACAGGGCGAAGAAACCTCTTTGCAACACGAGGCCGCCAAGGTTCTCCTCTGCGGAGGATTAGCTGGAGTCGCAACTTGGGCGAGCATATTTCCACTCGATGTTATCAAGACTAGAGTTCAGGCCCAGACCCTTGGCAGACAAGCAGAAACAGCACTCCTTCTGCAACCAAACGTAGCGTCACAAACCAAACGGGCTGGCGCAATACAGGTCACACGTGAGGCGTACCGGGAGGGAGGCTCTCGTGTTTTCTTTAGAGGGTTGACTGTCTGCAGCGTACGAGCTTTCATAGTAAATGCTGTCCAGTGGGCGGTTTACGAATGGGTCATGTTCGAACTCGGACATGGACGGAAGAAGACAGTGACCAACGAGCCTAGGGTAGAGATGGTACAAACATGATGTGTGAGGTCTACAATGGCATCCGGATTCACCCGCTACAATTAAACCAATGAGCTTCTTCTCAACTTCAAGCCATGGCGATTCTCTAGGAGGGACAAGACGAAGAAGGAAAAGCTGCTACAGGCAGCCCGGTGAGAGCTTCACCTTGGCCACTTTATGCATGATGACCGTATTTTAGAACACTTACCTCGGAAGTTTATTATCTGGGGTTCTTTCCGCTTCCTATGAATACTCGAAACTTAATCAACGTGCAATTCACTTTAATGATCTATCTTCATTAGTTCCACTTCAAGGCCCAGAATCAGTCACTTCCATCACGTTGTTGTCAGCGTCAAACGGGTTACTGCACAACAATCACTAGACGAGAGCTATTGTATCAGAACTAACCAACAGTTTTCGTCATTTAAACGTTCAATTAAGTCTTTTCCTCGCACCCAAATCAAAAAGGTATCTGAAAGATGTCAGACTCTTTGTGAACGCCATCCTATATGCGTTCACCAAAGGCATCTTCTGAGCGCCCGAAAACATGACATGAAAACTCTCATTTATTAGAGCTGTGATGCTTTGACTCACAAACCGATAAGTATTTCGTCGTAACGGGGAACCATGCATGTTCCCCATTGAACCATTGTGACGCTGTCATAAGTCAATGCATCGGGGTACTTGTTACAATTCACTGCACTGACAAAGGTCGCGTCCAGGGGAATCTATATGTGAAGTTCATCTGATCTCGTGGTCAAAGACCGCCGTAGTCCCCCATAACTCGACAGCGGACTCGGATAGTCGCTCAAAGGTGACACAATATCTGCAAGGCTCGATCGAGGTGATACAGGTTGGAAAGAAGTATTTAGAGAGACAAATGATGCGAGTTGCTCTTCCTGGAGAGATAGATGCCGTTGTCGGTTACGCTGATATCGTTGCTGCTCCTGTTCGCGGCGATTCTGTTGTAGCTGATGCTGATATTTGAGATCCTTCTGTTGTTGCCCTTCTTCCTGCGAGACAGCCCACCCTACCGAGCTTTGTTGATGGTCTGGGTGAAAGCTGGACCTTGGAACAGCTGTAGGCACCATGACTGTTGTGCCATCAAGATGGACGAGACGTGGTCCCTGATACCACCACTGGTCTTCAAACCCGTTATCTACTGTCATCAGTGCCGAAGCTAATGACTGTATGTCTTTGGCCTTGCTTCGCGCTCGGTCATCCACTTGCACAGGCTGAACGTATCGTGATGGCTCTCCTGGGAACTCGGGTCCCCATGTTGCTCGGAGGCTTGCCTCACGCGAGCGAGTGCGGCCCTCTCCCCCTTCGTTGTTGTCGTCATCTCCGTTGTTATCATTGAATCCCATAGGGAAATTCCAGCCGTCCCATGGCATGTCGCCCTCTCCAAGTCGGAACTGATTCGGCGTTGCAGGCAAAGCTTTCCAGACTTGGGGCTCGCCTCCTGAATTGTTGGAGGTCACATCCCAGGGACTGTTGTTCAAAGGAGGGGGCGCAGACCGTCCACGCTCGTGAGAACTTCTTTCCGCGGATCTCGAGCTTAGTCGCAGCTCCTCGGTGTGAGTTTCTCGTTGCTGTTGCTCCGCTGGGGTAGCTGGTGCATAATACTCTCTGATGTGGTGTTGTGGTTGTTGGGGACGATATGGTTGATATGTGGGTTCATGGGCCATGCCAATCGACACTGGATCTCTGCTGTAAATATTGGGAGGCAGGTTGCTGATGGGTTGAGTGAACTGTTGCTGTGGTTGGGTCTGTGGTTCCTGGGCTTGAGTTGGCATTTGTTGGTGAGCGGGCTGATACTGTGCGGGAGCGTTGAGATAGTTGGCATTTGTTGGAGGTAGTTGGCGAGGGAATTGGTTGGCCCGGTCGCGCATGCTCTTTGATACATAAGTAATGTGTCTGTCCTTGGACATAATTTTGGGCAGTGGGACGCCCATTTCCAGATGAACGTAAATGCCTGGTCGTTCCCCCATGACGGCAACAGGTGGAAGATGTCGGCTGAAATATAGGTACTGTTCGTAACGTTACGTCGAGCTAGCAACACATTCACCAGGGGTTACTGTGATGGATCGAATGCAGTGGATTCAGAAAGATCTGGTGGGCGAAATCGGTAGTGGTGAGAGACTGACTCTATGGCAGACGTCAGATCATAACAATTGTGCTGTAACAAACGCGATGTCCGGCTTGGGTGGGCAACAGTCAGAAGTACTTGGAGAATCTGGCAAAGGGAGATAGAGAGAGAGAGAAGTCGTCAAGATGTGTGAGATGGACGGATGGATAGGTATATGGAGTTGCTTGCTCCAGTAGGAGGCTTAGAACTCTTCTCCGCCTCTGGTCTTTAGCGTGGTCAGAAAAAGACCGAGGTTCCTTAATCTGAGGTGAGGTAAGGAGCAAAAGAGGCGAAGCCGTTGTGTTTTTGGTAGTGATACAGCGCAGCCCGGGGCTGTTGTATAGTGAATGTGCAGCTTGTCAAGGGATATAATGGTAGATTCAGCTTCAGAGGTCCCAAGTTAGCAGTAGAATGCCTTGTATTAGGTACAGGCCGGTCCTTGATTGCCACCTGACCTGGCCTGACTACCTAGGTAGGAAGAGCTCTGGTGAGCTGAGCTGAAAGATGGCTATGGCCACTTCTAGCTATCGGCCGCCGTCTGATACGGGGCCCGCACGGCGCCCGTGGAGGAAGCTAAGGATGGACGTCGTGGGACAGGGATGATTGAGGATCTGTTTCTTGGCGTTTGTCAAGACAGAACATCGATGCACTGACGTGCCTATGCCCTAATTATCTTGTAGTTAGTGTGGCCCGCTAGATATTCATGCTAAGCACACACAGAAGCATTCATTGCTCAGGGAGAGCGAGGCCATAGACAAACAATTCGTGTCAGACGAAAATACTTCAACTCAGCTGAGGTCCCGTGTTTCTACTACCAAGGGAGGACAAAGATGTTGCCCGAAACGAGCTGTTCACTCACTAGGCCTAGCGGATTCGCTTCTCATTTGCCCCAGAGACCAAGGCCCCCCGCAATCCCACGCTAAAAACTGATTGAGGCTTGCCAAAGCGACCGCAAGGTGTGGCGAAGGTACGGAGTACATCTTCCCAAAACGAGCATGTCCTCGTTAGAACGTGTTTATTTTTGGCTCATCTAAACCTAATTAGCGAAGTCGATATGCGAAAAGTAAATTGCAGCTACGGATATAAAGCCTTTGGCGACCTTTGCAGTATCAACAACATCGAAATAGGCTTGCGGGGTCTTTTGAATGGCAGAATCAGGATCGTCAGGATCAACGGACAGGGTCAACCAAACCCACTATGCGCCGGGTCTTTTCTAGAAACATTCTTGGAAGCCCCCCTGTATTAACCACTGACCGCATCGACACCTCAACCTCACAATCAAACATCACAAGTATGAGATGATTTACCACGCGGTAATGTGTGAAGACTGACACATGCTGTAACATAGTACAGAAAAAAAAACGTATGGTATGTGTGCACTTTCTATTCTGCCCAGCTAATTTTATCGAATCTACAATTCTGGGGTTGAGAAGGCTGTGTTGGCCCCTTTCCGATCCTTCGTCGATGAAGGATCACATGGATTGTCTCAATTAAATAAAACCGCCGAATGGGCCATTTCCATCATTCCTTCTCGTCAGTTTGTCCTGATCTGATTCGCTCGCCCGCATCAAATACCAATTCAGATGCGCCCAAGGCATCGCTTGAGGATTATGGGCATAGATTCTTGATCCATTTTGCAATTTGCGTCGGCATCGAGCTCATTTACTAGGGCAACAACCCAAACATCATGACTCGAGCCCTTTGTTTTGATTCTTCGACATTGCTGTCGGGTCGTATCGTTGTCCCGATCTATGCATTGTTTCAGTGTTCAGGTACTACTGTCGTGTCAATTCAATCTTGGCCAAAGCGCCTGTTCTTGCGACTAGCCACACTGCTGAGGCTCATATATGATGAGCATGCGGTGAAACAAGTAGTATATTCTGCCTATGCATCAACTATAGGTTGTCTCTCAGCGCTTCCTTGGCCAGTTCACATGAAAAGCGCTAATTAGGGACCCAGTATTCTCTGAGCATACTGTCAACCATCCTGAATCCCACTCAAAGAGCAGTCCTCTAACGTAATACGACCACCAATATCCTCTGAAACAGCTCTAGAAGAACCCACTAAACAGATTCAGTCTTGACTCCCACAGTTTTAGTCGAGTCTGCTGGCCGCCCGTGGCCCATTTCCCAGAACTTGTCAGTTTCCCGGCCACGACCAGTTACCAACCCCTGAATATCGAAAGGATCAATAAGGGTTTGCCACAACTTCCTCGGGTCGTTGTATCCAGGGCCCTCAATCTCCGTAACGCCGTCTGGGCAGAGGTAAATCTTGTTGTTTCTGGGAAGGTATCGTCGGGGATGCCGTACATTGAACATGACAAGATTGCAAAGCATAAGAGCAGCCTCAAACACGTAGAAGAACCACTCGTATCTCACGATAGGACTAATCGTGGCTGGGTCGAAGCCTGGACCGTACCTGAGTTCCGCAACACTGAAGTATTCCACAATGCGATATATGGTTCGCGCAAGGATAAGGGTCATGCTGGTATACAAAGTCCATAGTGGCTTGTTGAGCCGCTCATTTGTGATACCAGCGACAACACATCGGCGGTGGAAGGTAACAGCCAACGTAATAAACAGAATTGCCACGACAATCTGTAAGAGCAATGAGGTCTTGATCAGAGCATGACCTATCTCAATCTCGCTGTCGGTCAACGATTGATTCGCCGAGTATGAAGCACCCCAGCCATTCAGAGCCTCAACGATGCCTGAGATAAAACCAAAGGTTGTCAGGACACGTCCAGGGTGGATGGGTGAGTTGTACGGGACGTAGTACAGGATTCGGCCGAGAATGCGATAGTTCTGAAGTTCCAGTAGTGGTCTACATATGGCATTGGATGGTCAGCATACTAAACCACGATCAAGTCTTGAGTACTGGGTAACCTACGGCGCTGCATAAGTGATGCAGACACTTGCAATAAAAATGTCGAGATTTTCATAATGAAAAGCTCCATATACCCGAAGCGCGAAGCCCGTTGTAAAGAGAAGAGAGCAGAATGAGAACAGAGGTGTCAACTTCCAACACTTATACAGTCTGCAAAAGATAATCAGTTCCTATGAGTCTTAGAGCTCTTCCATACTTTCTATGATGGATTGGGCTGGAGTCTCACATGCACTGCCGTATGTGGAAGCATCCTGTGCAGCAGAAAGCGAAGCAGAAGAAGATGGCAGCACCCTTATTAGGGGCATAGAACCAGTAGCTCCCATCAACTAATATGTGGTCAGTTTCCAGCCTTTTCAACGGCTGCTAAGCTTGGAATTGGATGCCGTACCATATTTCCCGTCAGACATGATGGTGTCTTAATAACAAGTGCGTATGAGTGTTACGAGTCCTCCCGTCGCGTTTTTCTTTACATCGAGATTCTACAGTCTCAAAGCAAAGAGATATGTTTCAACTTATATACTCAGCCATGGCGATAAGATCGATACCAAGGTCCCCATGATCGTCATAAGTCCACATGTAATTTCATTGCAACTTCGCCCGATACCATCACTCTTCAACCCTATGGTGCCAGTAATCGACCAATCGTGGATGAATGCGATGAATGCGATTCCCTAGTTAGCGGGTCATACAGCAAACCATCCAATCTCAACACGTCTTTCTTACCATTTCTCAGTCTAGTGACTTATCTCGCATTGCCCGTATTCGTCGTGTTATTCATTGAGTTGCGGTTGCCTTGCCTTCGGTAAGTGTTTACCATTAGGCTCACTTCCCATCAGGTCTCTTGTAGATACCCCATGTGTGCCTGGGAAGATCTGTCAAAGCCTGCAAGAAATAATGGAGCTAAGAGTTTGTACATGTGCAGTTCGCTCACCAAAGTGCCAAGGAAGTGGATATAGTAGAGTAGAGTAGAGTATCATGTTCATGAAATAAAGCTATAGTGTACAATTAAATATCGGATAAATGCCAAAGTGACTCGCTCATACAAACTCCCGAGCCCAAATAGATAGGTAGCTTGAAGACATGTATAAAACTCCATCCATATATTGAACCTACAGTGAACGCCGGCTGGTCCTATCCCGTGCGCCCAACCAAAACGTCCCGCCACACCACAATATGCCACTGCGTCTCATTCATACAAACGTTCTCAATACGGACCTTTCAGCATCATATAGCATAAACATAGCACGTACTAAGCACATCACACTTAATCGATCAATCAACGCCCCAGCTTCGGCTATCGTCAGAGGATGAGGGCCGTCTGCGCATCTCATCCTCTGCTGTCATATCTTGAGCATTGCTGCGGTGTCTGCTATGCCGATGCTCTCGTTTCCCTTGTTTATGACTGCGATCATGTTGATCATGTTGATCATCACTCCAGTCGCTGAATTCTCCCTCGGAGTAATCCCACTGCACCGGTATTTCTTCGCCATCCTCACCATATCCATACACGAGACCTCGCCATTGTCCAGAAGCAATCTTAGCTGCCACCTTGAGGATTAGGCGGATGAGAGAGCTGGGAGGACCCAGGATCATCTCGTAGGTCTTGGCAATAATAGCCATTGGAAGGTTCTTAACCGTCTCCAACTTACTCCTGTATGGTCTCCGTTCCATGGTTGAAGCGGGTGTAAAGAGGTTGGCTGCAGGTGGCAGAGGTGACAGGGCGCGTCGCCTTACAGAAATACTACCGGTCGTCGCTCTGTGGCGTGGAACGAATGGCCGCTGCGGTGCGGTCATGGGTGTTGTCGACGGGCCGGTGTCAAGTTTGGGGAAGGCATCATTTTTTAGCTCTCTCACTGAATCCGCATCTGACGATGAGCTTTCGTCGGATGTTTCGCTATCATCAGAGTCGGACTCCCATGCGCATGGCATGGGAGAACTACCCCGGCTATGTGATGACTTATTTCTTTTGCCGGCTGACAGTCTACCTGCCTCGTACGGGTCATTGTTTGCCTCCATAGAAGATTCTGCTTGGGAAGTAGGAGGCGAAGGATGCTGTGGAACTCCAGAAGAATGCCATGACTCAACACTATGGAAAGATTCCTCGCTATCTCTACGCAGTAATCGAGGTTGTTGAGCATTGACCTTTTGCTGTGGCGACCGGGAGGCCTTCACATCTCCTTTATTCTTCTTCTGGGGAGAAGAGGTGGTATCTGCAGTACGACCAGTCGACTTTCTTGTTGTTTCCGATAAACTTCTTAAGAGAGGCTCCCTTGACGTGGACGCTGACGGCCCAGACTTATCCAGTGTCGGCATCATGCGTGGTGGCATCGTAGCAGACCTGGTTGTGAAATTCCCAGTTCGTCGTCGTAGCCTGGCCTTCATATTGCCACCTCGATTCCCAGAGCCTTCGTGAAGTTGATACATGGAGGAATCATCTTCCGTGGGACTGGAAGAGAGTACAGATGACCTATCGTGAGACTCGAGCATATCTGGAGAGCCTTGTTCACCTGGGCGTTCTGGGACAGCTTCCAAGGGTCCAGTGCCGGTATTCCCGGTGCCTAATGGTTGCAGAGGGTCGAGGTTCATTCCATACTCCTCATAAAGAGATATGTTGGAAGGCACTACGTTAGATGCCGCGCTTTCAGGTCTGGTAGGTATCGGGCTTGTTGGTATATCTCTGGGCTGTCTAGGAATTAATGGAGTAGGTGTAGAAGCTCTCCCAACAAAGGAGGACCTTCGTGAGTCCGTAGAGGATGCTGGTGTTGCCTCATCAGAAGGAATCATAGGCTGTGCGCGGGGCGTCCAGGGCAGGATTGTGACGGGAACCTGCTCTGGCAAATCGACAGTAAAGGTGCGCTTGAAAGGGCATTCCGTCTTTTCAAATTGTAGAATCTTGTCCAACACTTCTCTCAGTTCTTCGGCTCGCTGCTGATCTTCGGGGTCATCGACTGGAAGCTCTATTCTCCAGTAGTTCGGTCGCCGTATTTGCAGGACAAACCTACTGTTGACCTCGTCTATACACCAGCACTGGCTTTTTCGTAGAATTGGCTGCAATGCAGAACCGCAGCTCAAGAAGGCTACCGATCTTGGGGCTCGATATATGCGAAATGGTCCTATGTGCTTTACTTAGTAACTAGCGGTGCATACATAGGTATTCGTTTGTCAACTCACCCACAGCGATGGTTCTCTCGAGCTGTGAGGACCATGATAAAGAACTCGGTGGATCAACATTGCTCAAGGCGGGCCCCCCAGGACTTCTCGCATAGGCTCGGCCAGTGGCCGTAAAAGATATTATCTTGACGTTTGGATGGCTATAGAGTGTTTCGACAAGATCCGAGTCGGGTGTTTCTGGTTCCGTAGGGCCTCGTGAGGGTATAGGGGCTGTTGATACTCGCCTGGGCCCTCGAGCCGCCAAATCGTCACCTGAATCGTCCATGATAAGGATGTGACGTCGAAGCAGCTTGTTCCTTCTTTTTTTTTTTTGATAGCACAAATACTTGTTCCATCTGACTACATCTCAAACATCTCGAAGAGACAAACAGAGAAGATCGTTCATGACTGCGCGCCCGCCGTGGATGTTGGTCGAGTTGTGGTTGTCGCGCCGGGTCGTGACGAGTTGATGGATCGCGAGTCGAGTCCCCTGACCAACAACGCCTCAGTGGAAGGGAGAGGCTACGCAGGGTAGGTACCTATTTGGAGGTATGGAGGGAAAATGGAAGCTCAAAGGCGGAGATGACGACGAATTGGGGGGGGGGGGAGTTCTTGGATGTTTGTTATCTTTATCGTTATCGAGCGACCCGAGTGTAGGTACTTAGGTAGGAAGGTCTTGTGTTCTGTTCGCTCCCTCGATTTCCGTTCCGAAGTGCTGAGGCTACGACCGGGACGGATAGAATCTGGCCCAGCCATCTAAGGTATTGCGCTGTACCTACCTCATCTACAGGGGACGGGAGTTTAGAGGGGTGCGGCCTTAGTCATCCGCATACACATTCCTGGGCCCGCTGATGATCCCGTCGTCCCGCTCCTCGATCCTTGATTGAGCTAGAGCTGTTCAATACTTGGGACATTTCTGTGCATAGCGAGCTCAAGCCTATGCCACTCAAGTTTTGCAAAACGTTTGGTGTAAGAGGTTTGAGTCGTCATACGATGAATATATGCTCATGTCTAAGCTTTATCGTCCGATGAACTCAACGCACCGTACAAGAAGAAAGATGACGAGTTTGAACCTGGCTGTGCCTCCTATGATACACGCCTTTGTTTACCTACCAAGGTATGTACGAAGTGAACTGATGGATGTAAGCTGGACCTTGCATAAATAGCTGCGAACGCCACTTAGGTGCAGTTGTCCTACCCCAGCCAGCCATAAAGGGTGGCGGAGCTTTCACAACTGGTTTAAGTGGAGGTTGGAGGACACAGCAAAACGAGGTTCCATGTAGCCATGTTGTGAGCGCTTATCTCAGTCATAGGGGCTTTCTTCAGAAATTTGCCAGCGTTTCTGTGCCGTGCACGGAGTGATTTCGAGAGGATTGCGGCTCTCTCAAAGGATATCTTTAAAGAACAGTATTTGTCTTGTAACTCTCACATATCACATGTCTCTCTTGCTCCCTTGTGGATACACCCGCCTTACCTCTAGCTGGGCAAAGAGCACACTACCTAACTCAGCCGCCAACCTGGCGTAAGCTTCAATTGGTACACGATACTTACGTCACCTTACAGTCTTACCATTCCAAGGTTCCCTCCCAACTCGTGTTCGTGAATATCACTATTACCTTCATTTCTTAGCCCAAACCTGAGACCGCCAAATCCTCAACAGTCTCAAAAAGACCCTTCATTTTCTTCAGAGGGGCAGGCAAAGTTCCGTGCCTGATACAGTGTATTCACTAAAATTCAGCCCGTCGACACAAGCTCAACTTGAGCTCTGGGTGCCTACAACTTGGTCTCCCTTATACCCTTCAGCTTCCTATACCTAGCTTCAGCTCTCAAGATGTCGTCCAACGAAAAGGCTCAACTTGATAAGGACAAGTTGAAGGAGAAGCTTGAGGAAAAATTCGATCTCTCTCACTTCGATCCCAATACCGTAATACGTGGTGCTCAGCTCACTCTGGTGGGAGGTGAGTACCACCCACCATATGGCATCATGCCTTTTGCCCTTCACTAACCCACAATATAGCTCATCGAGCACTACAGAATCCAGCACTTTTCACAACCGATCACTATCGTCAAGCTGCCATTGCAGTGGTGGCAGGTCTTGCTATTAGACTCATCGTCACCATACCCGTGAGTCTCATTACCAGCATGAGCAGAAGAGCAACGCAACTGACTGCACAACCAGATCGTCGGGATCAAGGTTTTATTATGGTTCATTTCATTCTTTATATCTCTTGATGCCGTCACATGGGACGATACTCTC